ACAGTCCACACTACAGTTGTTGCTATGCCAGATCGGGCCGCCGCGGCCACAACATTTTTTTCGAGAAGTTGATTGTGGCGATGGCAGGAAACGGCGTCTCGGCTCCGAGAGTGGCAGTGCACACTCGTAAACAGCACATCCGTGCATTGAATAGCATGGCCGACAAGAAAAAACACTCTGGACCGATTCAGATCTTCCATCGCCTGAATGAGAGCACTCGCGACAAATTCGGCTGCCCTGACGGAAAATCGTGCAGCTTATATCTGCGCGCGACGCCTTTCGCCGCGCCGCCGTCGAACTGCAAGTGAGGTCGGCCCGAGCAAGAGCATGCAATTCCACGCGGCACACAAATCGAACGGAGAGATTGGAGCTGCTGGCGCCGCCAGCTCCAGAGGCGCGTGGGAGAACGCGTCGCGGCTCCGAACTGACAAAGGTCCAGATCCACTTCCTCAACACATTCGCAAAGCGTCAACGGTCTCAACGCGGGCGCACTCCACGCAAGACTAGCCCTCGGGTGTTCAATGCAGACAGGCACACGGTGTTCGATGCGCGCGCGAATTACATGACATGCAGCTCGTAGCTCGACGTTATCTGACAAGAAAACCGACGCGGCAAATCTCGTCGCCCCACTCACTGGGTGGGCGGCCCCACGGCTTGGCCGAGGTGCGAATGTGAAGAGACCCAGACTCGATCCAAGATCCACGCTGTAAATGCAGCCACAACGCGCCGTCCGCCGACGAGCGGACCCAACCCAAGATTCGATCGACGACGACCCGCTCTGAAAGACAGAGACCAACCTTCCGACTTGCACCAAGCCTGGGACACCCCAAACCGCGACCGCGGAGCGCTTTGCACATGGGGGCCCCGTGGGGCCCGACCGCAGACAAAACGTGGCGGCGGCGGCTGGATGCCCAAGCGTGGGCCCGCCGAAAAAAACATATTCCATGCGAGAAGCGAACGTCTGGTCAGAGCGGGTTCCTGCCTCGCGGCCCGCGGGGCGATCGCCCCCTCCTGCAGCGGCGCGTGCAACGGGGGCGAGCCTGTCAGGTGCTTGGCCTCGATGAGCTCCGCCAGCCGACTGAAGACCTGCTCGCCGAAATACGCCGCGGCTGGCGGCAGATCCGCCATGCGCTGCTGCATCCGCGTCCTCTTCCCGTGCCGCCTCAACGGCGGATCCGAGATCCACCGCGCCCCCCTCCTTCGCCTTCGCGACCGAGCGAGGTCCCGAGTGGAAGTCGCGAGGCGCCCCCCCCCATGGCGGAGGGTGTGCAAGCGCGGGGGCTCGTTCTGCAGCTCCAGCTGCTGGGGCCCCTGCGCGAACCTGGCGCGCGCGCCCGCGGGCCTGAAGGAGGAGGAGGAGGAGGAGGAGGAGGAGGAGGAGGAGGAGGAGGAGGAGGAGGAGGAGGAGGAGGAGGAGGAGGAGGAGGAGGAGGAGGGAGGGAGGGAGGAGGGAGGAGGAGGAGGAGGAGGAGGAGGAGGAGGAGGAGGCTCGAGTCCGCGGAGGCGCCGCGCGTCGGCGCGGGCCGAGCTCGGGGGCGTCGACCAGCACCGACTCGTCGGTGACACTCCATATCCTGCCCGGGCGGCCCGGCTTCGCCCCGTTCGCGAGGAACCCCCGGGCGTTGATGCTCGAGCCCTCTATCGGGGGGGGGCCAGCGAGCACGCGCGCAGCCCATGGGCCTCTGAGGGCCTCAAGTACGCGTGGAACGCCAGCGACGCGACGACCGCCAGGCTGGGCAGCTGCGTGTATATCATCCGTCCTGCCACGGCCATGGCAGCTGCCCTCGGCAGCGGCAGCCGCATCTGCGGAGGTACACGCCTGCGCCGACCCGGCCGTCCAGTGCACGGGCGGTTCGGGGCAGAGGACGGTTGCCTCCCAGGAGGTGGGGCAGGTAGTGCCTGAGCACGGCTGCCGTCATCCTGCCCGTCGCCGAGTCGAACCCGTCGAGCGCCAGGTCGGTCAAGAAGCTGATCGACACCACGTCCAGCTGACTGGCGGTGCTGAAGTCTTGCTCGTGCCACCCGAGCCACTCCAGGGATCGCAGAGCGTGCCCGCGATATCGATCCCTCGTCGTGTCCGTGACCGCCGACATCTCCAGGAAGCTGATCGCCCCTTCCGCCAGCTCTCGAGGTCGAGGGTGCTCCAGCCCCCGCGCAGCCTTGACTGTCGATGCCAGCTGCTTCCAGGATACCTGGGCAGTCCGAGGTTTCGACCGCCTGCGAGAATCCTGTGCCATGGAAGAAGCCATGGCGATAATGCCAGTCTGCCGCGTTCAACTCCGACGGCAGCCAGCGCACGCAACAACGAATGTTGTTTGCGAGAGAAGGAGCTGCCGCCTTCCGCGAAGGACTTCGAAGGGTGGGCTTCCGCCCTCTGCCCTTTCCAGCCGCGGGGGCCAAAGGTAGATTATCGGCGAGAAGTAGATGGCGGTGATGATGAAGAGATGACATGCGCGAAGCGTGCCGTACAGCATCATATAAGGCGCCCCCCCCCCCAGTGCTGCAAGATATTCTCGTGGGGTTCCCAGTGCCTTCTGGAGATGACGGTGGCCCGCGACGAGGCCAGTGTGATATCCTCGGGGATATCATGGAAGCCCCTGTCGAAAAAGGGTGGCCTTCTCCCGTGTGTCGGGCGCCTCGACCCCGCCCTTGACGACGGCCTCCAAGACGCCCTCGCGTCGTGGGGCCCGTCCAGGCCTAGTGCGTTAGCCCGTGCTAAAACCGCTGACGTACGCCAGTGCCCCCACTTGGCCGCGTGCCCCCCGATGTCGGCCGCCCGGGGCTCAACCAGCTGACGAGTGCACGCGCCGACGCCGACAGGTGAAGCATCCCAAGCCGAGACGCGCGTTCCCTGTGGAACGCTGAGGCGCGAGGTCCAGCAAGGCAACGTACTAGCGACACACCAAAGCTCGAACCTCACTGAGCGCCGCAGGGGCCTCGCACCGTGGTCCTTCTGAGAATTGGAAGCGTGGGCGGAGGACGAAATGGTAAGAGTCTCTCTTTTGCGCAGCATCGCCCATGTGACGTGACCTATCATCACTTCGAACATGCGAGGCGACGCAACCCCTCGCCGCAGAAACGCCGGGATCGCCTGTCGAAGCCGCGCGATGCTGGACGGCGTCGCCCTCGCGGTGCCCGTGTCGTCGCTGATCTCGAAACCCGTGAAGATGGACACCGACGGAACCTCACAGATAGTGTGCACGGGCAGGCCCCGGCCCTCCAGGGTGCGGGTGATCATGTCCCTCCTGTCGGTCACGATCGCCGCATTCCTGCCCGCTGCTGCGAAGTTGTCGACATAGCCAGCTGCAGCTGCGCAGTTCAGCGAACGCAACGCAGGACTGGGTCGCCCGTCCTCTATCAGGTTGCCGTCGCCAAACACGTTCTGGACAAGGGCCCTCCTCAGGATACTCTGGCAGAATAATAATGGCCAGATCCAACCTATGGGGGGGCGCGCGAACCATCTGTTGCAGGATGCAATCGCTGGCCAGCGGTCTCCCCTCGATCTGCTTGATGCCCAATAGTCGAAGCGTGTAATACTCCTCCATACCTGCCGGCGCTAGCATATGGTAGAAAGCGCACTGGATGTCGCCCTGCGCCGCCGCCGCGGCGTGCTCTGACTCCAGGGCAGCCCGCGTAGCCGCCGTAGGCAACGTGGTCTTGGGCGGCGGCTCGAAACCCTCGTTCGCCACCCGCGTGTCGAACGCTGGCCTCGGCGTGCCCTTGCCAGCTTTCTCAACGAAGAAAAACCCCAACCTGTATGGATCAGCGGCTTGTGCAACTCGGAAGCTGATCATGCCGCCCTGCAGCAACTTACCCACGAATCCTGCGTAGGCCCTGGGGTCGTTGGCAAGCGCCGGGTCGACGTAGGGCCGCAGCGGCGCCGCCGCCGCTCTCGGGGCTGAAGCAGATGTCTCACCTCCGAGCATAGTCCCGCTCCATCCCGGCAAACATTCGCGTTCGGCCTGGCGGGCGAGCTCCGTGACATTCACGGGGGCCGTCGGCAAGTGAGACCAGGATGCTAGGTCCTTGCTGTAGGGCTTGACGCGCTGGGAGTCGGCCGAGTACCCAGGCGCCGAAGTGAGCAGCTCTTCAAGGGCTGCTTCGCCAGAGCGATGATCTTCGTGATGTTCAGGGGGGGCGGGAACTGCTGGGACGATGGGATGACGCGATCCATCGCGCTGTCCTGCGCCGCGGACGCCGTCCACCCAGGGGAAGCGACGGCGACGAAGCGTGACCGCTCAGCTGGTTGAAGGCTGCGATCCCATCGTTGGCCCATTGCCTCCAAGCGGTGCCCCGCGGCGCCCTCCGTCGCCCGCGGCGGCAGTGGCAAGCGCCCGCCCGCGCGTCCACGGCCGAGTCGATTGGCGCCTCTCTTCGATTAGCTGAGACTGGCGGCACATCAACTCGAAGGCGGCTATCTCCGATATGTTGAGCTGATCGCAGCCGCCTGCCATCTCCAATAGTCGGCAATTCATATCGTGTTGCTGGCAGGTCGGATCCGAATCTCTGATCCGAGCCTCAGCCTTCCTCTTCGAGGACCATGCCGAAGGGCCGCCAGCGGCCTCCCGCGCGGCGACGGCGCAGTCCAGCTGGCGCCGTCCAGTGCTGTCGGTCTCGATCGCGCGCGCCCGCTTGTCCACCGCGGCGGGCAGGGCGCCGGCAGGCAGCGCGCCTCCGGCGACGGCGCGAAGCTCCTCCGCCGGGCTCGGAGGCTCAGCCGATGCAGACTGAGGCGACCCATCACGACGCCGACACCACGCGCTCCGAGAAAAAGACCTCACACTCCAGAGTCCAGGAGCACCACTGAGTGACTGCACCAAGAGCTGATCGGGCGCAGGAAGCTCGCGCCGTCCACGTTCGGGCACGATGTGTTGTAGGTCGGCGAGCACGCAAGCGCGCGGAGGGCAAGCAGGCGGCGCAGCCGGTGTCGCCGACCACGCTATCAAGGCCTGCGAGGCGCCACGCGAGAGATCTGAAAGAAATCGCGAGACGGCAACGTACAAGCCCCTCAAAAGCTTGAGCACAACAGTTGTGGTTGTGCGGCCACTCTTCCCCATTCCTAGCACAGTCCACTAAAGTTGTTGCTGGGATGCGGATGGGGGTGAGGATGTAGATGTGGAGATATGATGATGTTGGTGGGAGGGTGGTCATGAAGGTGATGATGATCATGAGGATGATCGAGTGCATGGACGCAGCCGGGAGGGGTGCCTCCACAACTGGCCAAGCCCAAAACTTCCCTGGGCGCCTCGCGAGCAGCGGCAGACCATGCCAGGCGCCAGCCAACAGTCGGCTCGAGGCAAGCTTCCGACGCAAGTGTGTAGGCAGAGGCCAACCGTCTCTGCATGCTGGGGCCCAAGCCTCGGCTCGAGCACGACGCCCTCCGCCGCGCGCCTATGCGCCTAACACCTGCGCAGCGGAGGCTTCCAAAGGCGACCGGGCGTGCGCCGCCTTCCGGGCACCTGGCCGCGCAACGGTCTGCGCGCCCCTTTTCTCTCTGTAGACAAAACCGCGGAGTGTGCGGACCTGCCCTGTCTTGTCTGCCCCCACCTGTCGGCTGGGCCGCCCGTGGCGACAGCGGGCGGAGCGCGAGCGCCAAGCCCTTCGGCGAGGCGCAGGGCGTCGCGGACTGTGACGCTTGAACGCAGGGCGGCCGAACGTGCGCCACCTTCTGACGCCGAGCCGAAACGGCCTGTGCACCCCGGGCCCCCCGGCAGGTGAACCTCGGAGTGTGCGAGCTACTCCTTTAGTTCGGCTGCCGCGCTGGCGGTGGGCGGGCGCGCGCGGCGACGGGCGGCGGCTGAGTGGCGAGGGCGGACTGGGCTGCGCCGCCTTCAGGCTCCAGGCCCCCAAGCGGTCTGTGCGCCCCTTTCCCCGTGCGGAGACAGAACCAAGGAGCGTGCGAGCTGCGCCAGCGGGCCCCCCCCCACTATCGCGCAAGCTGACCTTGGCCATGTCGCCCTAGACGGACGGCGGCGAGATAGGCGTAGCCATCGCAAAAACAAGCAAACACCGCGGGTGCTGCGAGCTGCGTGCGCCAGTCGCGCGTTGGAACGCCCGGCTAGCTACGTTGCTGGACTTCGAAACGCGCGCCGCCCTCCGGCTCGACAACTAACCCAAGAAGGCCTGTGCGCTCCTGTAGTCCCTGGGCGCAGCGTCGCGGAGTGCGCGACCTACCCGGCGCCCCCCTCCGCCCGAGACAGCGGCGGGCAGCGCGCGGCAATCTGCAACGGTGCATGCGCACAGAAGATGGCAGATGTGGCTGCGCCGCCATGTGGCCCGAGGCCGCGGCGGCGCGTGCCCCGCCCCCCCCCCCCCCCGGGAGAGAGAACCGTGGAATGTGCGGATCTCCTCTTGGCTGCGAACCAGGGCAGAATGAGACCGAATTTGCCTTTGCGCAGAAAGCTGAACCGATCCTGCTAACCAGCCTGAGCGCCTGACCCGCGCCGCGTGCTCCCGGGGCGGCCCCTGCGCGCGAGCGGCTCTGGCGCCCCGATGCAGCCAAAACAACGCGGCGCTCGTGGCGCCCCAGGACAACGGCTTGTCGACGTTGGCTGGCGCATTCGGACAGGGCCTACTCAGACCAGCCAGCCTCGCGCTCTGCGTCCAAGCCCCGCGCGCGAAGCAGAAGCGGCGGTTGCCTGCTCGCCGCGACCGATGCGATTCGCGCGCGTCGAGCGTCCACCGCGGCGGCGGGGGCGGCGGTTCAGGATATTGCTGTCGCGGCTGGTGTGCCGATTCGCCAGCGACGCTGTGGCTGCCTAAGCCCGCCACCTCGGCGTTGGCCGCCTCCGCGCCCCCCCTCTGCGCGCGTGCGCGGTCGCCGTCCGTCTGGCCTGCGACGAGGGCAGCTCCGGCTGCGAGAGGAGCTGCTGCAGCAAAAGAGTGCCCCGCACCTCCTCCGTGTTCTGGTGGTGGGCCCGCCGCTGGGCGGCCGCTGCCTCGGCGCCTTGAGCATGCCCAGTGGGTCTGGCCGTCGTTGTCGATCCAGGTGCCGCGTCTGCGGCGCGCAGGTCCGCGGCAGTCGCTATGGGCGCAGACGGCCTTCTGACGTACTTGGTATCCGTGTGGTGAGCAGCGGACTGAACCTGATCCCTCGTCGCCTTGTCCAATTTCGGCCGTGAGCAGATCGTGACTCACCTGCGTGGCCCTGCCGATCCATCTGAAGGTCTTTCGTGCCAGCTGGTCCTGGCGCCTGCTGCGGCGCCGCAGGTTCTGCGGATGCATGGCTACGCCAAGTTGTACTCTGCGATCAGCTGCTTGGTTTCCTGCCATCTGCCAGCGATCGATGCGCTCTGCCAGGATGTCGCCCTCAGCGGCGTGTGCCGTTACTTTGCTGATGTCAAGATGCTTCTCGCCGATGTCATCCATCGTCTCGGGTGGGCCCGCAGCTCTGGGTGAGGGCGCTGTGGACGCCGCTGCCTGCCAACCTTGAAGCCGTCCACCAGCCTCCTGCAATCCGCGCAGATGTGTGCTGGCGGCATGCAGGGTTGGAGTGCCTCGATGCATGCCCCGATCTCAGCCGCCCCTGACTCCTGCGGTGATAGCCGGGGGGCGGGCCGGAACTCGGCGACTAGCCCCCCTTCGTGGCCCGTGACCACTGCGCGCCAACCTGCGCGCGCCGCGCATGTGGCGGGGTCCTCTACGCTCCTGTCGGTGAAACTATCTCTCGGCAGCGGCTGACCCACGGCGCCGAGCGCGCCCTCCCTCCTCGAAGTTCTGAGGGGGGCTGGAGGGTGCGGCAGAGATGCTCTGCTGCAGGGCCGCGCGACCAGAGGGCGCCCTTGTCTGCGCCACCTTGCGCCATGGCCACGATCGCGCTGCGCGGGGTGTCGTCGGGCGACTGTCTCTTGCCGGCGCCGTCGTTGACTGCGTGCTCCTCTCTGGCCTCCTCAGTGGCCGCGCACTGCCGCGCCAGGTGCGGATGGCATCCCGTTCCCCGCGGCCCCTCGGGCACGTGGGCGAGGCGGTCAGGGGCCTCTCCAGCGCAGCGCTGCGCGCAACTGGCCACAGGCAGCCCAGCGTGGCATTGGTTGCTGAGCTCGCCTTCTGGATCATCTGCGTGGGGGTCCGCTTGCGATGAACCGCCTTCTCGATGCCCATCGGGCCCCCGCCGGCGCTGAGGTGCTCCAATCCAGAGTGCTTGCTCGCGTCCCTCCAAAGGAGACGCCCGTGGCTGGCGCTGACCAGCCTCGTGAGTGTGGGCGCTGTAGGCTAGGGCCAGCGCCGATGCAAGTCCTGCTCCTGCCACTGCGTCGGGGCCCTGTCTCTGCAGCCGCTGTGCGGCTGTGCTGAAGCTGCTGCCCGACGTCCCCATTGGCCCGCGCAACGATGGGCAGTGCCGCGTGGTCGTGCAGCGGGTCGCTGGTGAGCGAGCGGCCGACGAGGTAGCTGGGGCTCACGCTCCTGCCCTCTGCGCGCCCGTGGTGCATATCGCTGGTGATGCTGCGCAATTGCTTCAGCGGGTGAGTCGGCTGTGTTACCCCGCTCGCCCAGTGCCGTGCCATAGGTCTAAGGCCAGTGTCGGCTAGCCGCCCTGCCGCCCGCGCGCCGTGTCTTCTGACTGCATGCGCCCTCAGCAGCAGGGAGAGCGCCCTGTGCTTGCGGCCCTCCGCGACGCAGTAGGCCTGGCCGTCCTAGCAGTAGTCCACCCCAAGTCCTTCGCGCTGTCAGTGATCGGGCAGGCTCGCGCCCCCGAGAACTTGGTGGCCAAAGGGGCCACCGTGGGACTGGCGAGCAGCTCGCTCTTGTCCCTCGAGGCCCTGCACCCCGAGTCCTCGAAGCCCCGCGGGGCCGGGTTGCGCCTGCCGGGTGGGCCCCGACCTGCGCCATGGGGCCGTGGCAGGCGATGCTGCCGTCGTCGAGCATGATGGCCAAGGTTACCCTCGTCTCGATCACCCTCCGCTTGCACGCGTGCTCGTCGTCCGCCGCTGGCAAACCGCACTTGGGGAGATGGCCTGCGAGGCCGCATCCTGTAGTGAGGCCCGCGTCCCGGTAGGGCCCCCCGGATGCGCCCCCGTCCAGCATGATGCGCCGCTCGCCTGCGTCCTTGCCATCGCGAGGAGACCGCCAGGGTACTGGGCCAGCACTTGCCGCTGATGAGCGATGAGATCCACGAGCTCGTCTGCCTTCCACAAGTCGATGAAGGCGGCTGTTGCCGACCCCTCCGCCTGCGCTGGCTTGTGAATGTGATGCCTTCCATCGTGCGCCTTCTGCTGGCGCGCGGCCTCGGCCCCCCCGAAGGCGGCCGGCCGGGCCCTCGCCCCGCCCGGCGCCCCGCGCCCTCGTCTCCGCCAGACGAGCGCGGCTCCGTGGGTGAAAGGGGCCATTGGAGCAAGCCGATGGGGCGAGAACCGCCCGTGGGTTTCGGTTGCGCGACGAGCAGCGAGTCCGCGAGGGGGACTGGCCAGCCGCCCAAAACCTCGCATCGAATGCTGACGTCGATGATGACCTCCAGAAGCTCGTCGCTCGAGAGAGCTGCCGGCCTAGAATTTGTCGTCGGGCGCCCGCCTTCTCGTGCCCCTCCTGTATGCGCGTGTGCTTCCTCCGCTTTTTGCGAGACTTGCTGAACAATTCCTTGGAACTATTTCCGCGCTCCGCCGTGCCGTGTATGCCGCGGCCTCGGGCGCCGCGGCTTCAGCGGCCCCCCTTGCCCAGCTGCCCAGCGGCATCAGG